TTTTTTTTTTTAGATTATGTCTCTCACAGTGGACATGCACCTACGATGACAATTTCAGACCCCTCTATGATTTCTAAGTGGGAGAACTTGCAAAATAGCAGGGTGTTCAAATACTTATTTTCCTCACTGTATATGTGATTTTGATTAAGAGCGTCAGAGGGTTCAGAGGCATCCTCACAACAACACCACATTCATGCTCCCAGGTAATTATTGTCAGGTTCACAATTAATAATAATAATAATAATAATCTTTATTTGTAGAACACTTTTCAAAAACAAGTTACAAAGTGCTTTAACAAGTGTAAAGACAATAATACCCAAAAGACAATAATACAAAAACAATACAAATTAAAAGCAAGAAAACATTGAAAAGACTAAAATACACGTTTAAGATAAATATTAAATAAGTAAAATAGAATAAAATAAAAGGGATAAAATAAAGTCAAATAAAATCTGGAAAGGCTCTCCTATAAAAGTATGTTTTAAGAAGGACTTAAGAGAGTTCACTGACTCAGCCGACCTGATTTCCTCGGGCAGGCTGTTCCAGAGCCTCGGGGCCCTGACAGCAAACGCTCTGTCCCCTTTAGTTTTCAGTCGAGACTCTGGAACAGACAACAGACCTCTGCCCGAGGATCTCAAGGTACGTGCTGGTGTGTATGGGACTAAAAGGTCAGAAATATAACAAGGCGAGAGGCCATGAAGAGCTTTAAAAGTGGTCAATAAAATTTTAAAGTCAATTCTAAAACATACTGGGAGCCAGTGTAATGAAGCTAAAATAGGGGTAATGTGGTCATATTTCTTTGTTCTGGTTAAAAGCCTGGCAGCTGAGTTCTGGACAGTCTGGAGTCGATCAGTAGATTTTTGGGTTAAACAAGTGAAAAGGCTGTTGCTGTAATCCAGTCGTGGTGAGATGAAGGCGTGTAAAATGGTCTTGGTGTCCTTAAAAGTTAACATAGATCGAATTTTTGCTATATTTCTAAGTTGATAAAAACATGATTGAACAAGCTTTGTGGTGTGCTGCTCAAAATTTTAATTACTATCAAACCAAACTCCAAGGTCCTTTGCACCAGGCTTAATGTGATTTACTAGGGAACCAGCAGATGGCAGTATTTTTTTTTGCCATCTGCTGGGACCCAATGACCAGGAGTTCTGTTTTGTCTGAGTTCAGCTGGAGGAAATTATTTGACATCCATTTTTTAACTTCACAAAGGCAGTTGTTAAGTGAACTCAGTATTCCAGGGTCTGTGGATCTGACGGGCAAGTATATTTGTGTGTCATCAGCATAAATATGAAAAGAAATACCATGTCTCTGAATAATGTGTCCAAGGGGAAGCAGATAAAAGGAAAACAAAATGGGTCCTCAGACCGACCCCCTGAGGCACACCATATTTAACTGGACAGAACGAAGAGACATAGTTGTTTACAGACACGCAAAACTTCCTATTTGACAGGCAGGATGAAAACCATTCTAGGGCAGTACTAGAGATCCCCACCCAGTGCCTCAGTCTGTCTAACATGATGTCGTGATCAATGGTGTCAAAAGCAGCGCTAAGGTCCAGGAGTACCAGGACTGAGCACATGCCTTCATCAGCAGACATTAAAAGGTCATTGGTGACTTTAAGCAGTGCTGTGGTACTTCCTGAAACCAGATTGAAACTTTTCAAATAATTCATTTTCTTCCAGTAGAGAGAGCAGCTGTTTGGACACAATTCTTTCTAAAATCTTTGCAATAAAGGCAGTTTTGAAATTGGTCTAAAATTATGTGGGAGGGAGGGATCTAAACCAGGTTTCTTTAAAAGTGGATTCACGCAAGCCATTTTAAAATAATCAGGGACACAACCAGTAGATAGGGAGCTGTGAAGAACAGAGATCAAATGGGGCCCAACAGAATCTATTACTTTCAGTAAAAACTTTATAGGTATTACATCAAGTGGGCTGGAAGACACTCTCATTTGTGATACTGTTTTTAAAAGCTCAGACAAGTCGATGGGATTAAACTGGTTAAAACTCTCTTGTTGCTGGTGAGGGACCTCTGAGTAAGAAGCCGTGGGGGTAATAGAGGCTCTGATTGACACCACCTTATTGGTAAAATAAGATAAAAACAATTCACAATCATCATTACTTCCAGCTGAGGCACAAGGAGGGGTTGGGTTTAGCAGCTGATCCGCAGTCTTAAACAGAAACCTGGGATTGTGTTTATGTCTAGTAATGAGTTCAGAAAAATAGTGTGTTTTCGCATCCTTAACCATGTTATTGTAGTTAATTAATAAATCCTTCAGACTGAGATATTGGACTTGGAGACTGGATTTTTTCCATTTGCACTCTGCTTTCCTGCATTCCCTTTTTAGGCTGCGAATGCTGTCATTTATCCAGGGTTGCTTACTAGCTTTAGACGTAGGCCTAACCTTTAGAGGAGCAGTAATATTTCGTAACAACAAGCAGATATGATTGAAGTGATTAAAGTAGGTGAAATTGCGTCTCTGCCTAAATGTGTGACCTGATAATCTATTGACAGTGTTAAAAAATAGAAATAGAACTCTGTGCTCATTAAGTACAAGATATAGCTTTTTATACATTTCTCTTTTTTTTAAATAATGTCTTTATATTAGTTGCAAAGCCAAGTTAAGTGTATTTATGTTTTAGTTTGATAAATAAGTACAGTCTGTATTTTCTTTAATAGATTATCTAAATTGTAGTAAAGTAATTTTATTGAATATGTTACTTAACAGGCGCTGGATGGATGGATGTTACTTAACAGTATTTTTGTAAGTATCTAAGTCTCAGTCTTTTTGTTTCAGACCATTTAAATTTGATTATTAATTGCTGTGGAGATGTAAAAAATTTCAACAAATATAACAAAAAAAGCTTCTGAAATACTGCAGCTTTAATTCATGTTGATGTAAGCATGATGTTTTGTAAAAGGCAACACTGCAAGCTTTCTGTAAAAACGGTGATGCTCACTTTAAGAGAAATAAGTCTCTTGTGTGCATTGAGCTGAATTTGTGAAAATGTGAGCTTCTGTCTAATATGTATATGACAGAGAAAAAAATGTGATAACACAACACACACACACATTAGATTATGTTAACACACATACCCTACAATATAACACGCCAGAACAGTGTTATACAATGGTTCTTCAATTTCAATTTCTTAACCCGCAATTTTAACTTACTGAAATAATGTATGTATAATCAAATAGATCAATAATATTTCTAATGTAGATACGTCTTTCTAGCATTATATGAATCATATAATTAACTATTTACATGACATCAATCCTGCACACTGTCCAGTTTAAGATCATCAAAAATAAAGAATATTAAATTGATGTTAGGAGTCAGAATTGGTTAAGATGTTCTGGGATTGGCTTTGTGTATACTTATTGTGGCCAAAGAAAAAGCAGTGTATGGCATGACGTGTGCCACTGACTGCCACTGGCAAGCAAGCCGCGCTGTGCGTTAGTTTCATCTCGCCTCTCCTCACCCTCTCTACCACTTTATCCCCCCCCCCCTTCTCTGTGGACTCATGTTTGCTTTTGTTCTCTTCTCAAGTCCGCCTGACTCACAATGATGATCTTGACCAAGCGCAAGGAAAGGTCAAGGTTGGCCGGCAAATTGCCTCAAAGCAATCAGCCTTGTCTCTCTGCGCTAACAGTGTGAGCTCTCTGTCGCTGTCGCCATCTTGCCATCTCTCCCATCTCTCCCATCTTTTTTCTCTGTTTTTTTTCTGTCTCTGGGTTTACCCAAGGGTGGGGGTGGGGGGGCTGCTTTGAAGTCTCAGCTCTGACCGGCGGCTGAGCTAGGTCTGGGGACTTGAAAGCACAGAGTGTCACTGCCTGGGTGACATTTCAGCACAGACCAGCGTGACCCAGCAGGGTGCTTGTGTACGTGTGTTTGTGTGTGTGTATATATGTGTGTGTGTGTGTGTGTGTGGACAAGAGAGTGTCTCCTTATGGCCTCTGCTGTCCTTAAGGACTGCTGGCTACTGGGGGCTATTTGCCTCTGCACCAAAGGGATTACCTTTCATTACATAAAAAACAGAATCACCCATTCAACCTCTAACCCCCTCGCTCAACAACAGTGCCACTGGGATGCGGTCCTATAGCTGATACTCCTGTTATAAATACGCACTCAGTAACTAGATCTAGTACAGTTAGATATTACATGAGCCATGACTACATGTAACGTTTTATATCATTTTCAGCACTCACACATGCGCACACAAGGCTCAAGGACAGCCTCCTTTGGGTAGGCTGCTGGTTTCAGCCCAGTGTGCCTGAGTGGCTTCACTCTGATGGCTTCACACACATGAAAGACTTCACTGTAATGTGTCACACAGTACCCACACACTCAGCCAAAGAACATCAAAGGCTGTAGTTGGACGAATGTCTTCATCTATCGCCCGATAGTGTGTGTGTCTCCGTCTGTCCTCTAAACGGTGTAAACAGGTGTTAACATGTCAGCCCACAAGATGCCACATGCCGCTGTGTCATGAGCTCCTGAGCAGCTGTCCCCCACCGTTAGCGTGTGTGTGTGTGTATGTGTGAGCATATGTATATATGTGTTTACTATAAGCGTTATAAATGGCTGTGAGAGGAGCTTTAGCCTTACATATCGTGCAAAGCCAAGGATAAACAAAGAGAAGAGCAAAGGATGAAAGGGAGCTTTATGCCAATAACTGATTTCCTCAAGAACGCTTGAAATGTTTATCTGCTGTATCTCTCACTGTGCATTTGTGTTTTCTTTGTATGTTTTTGTGCACAGGTACAGGTGGGAATCTGAGTGAGCCTGAAGGCTTAGTGGGCAGGGAAGGGAAGGCACAACACAAAAAACAAAAAAAAAGTTCATCCCTGCTGCTAGCTAACGCTTCTGTCAATAGCTGTATGTTCCTACAAATCCTTGAGCAAAGGACAGAAACTCCACCTCCTCTGTCTTTTATCTGTCCCTCTGGATTAAAGATGCAGTTGGTAATGCCTGTAATGGAAATGTCTGTCCTCAGGTGGAGATTGAAAAGCTGGACTACCACCACTACCTGCCTCTGTTCTTTGATGGCTTATGTGAGACTGTTCATCCGTACGAGTTCTTCGCCCGCCAGGGAGTCCATGACATGCTGGAGCACGGAGGCCCCAAGATCCAGCCTGTCATTCCCCAGCTCATCATCCCCATCAAGAGTAGGTCTGGGAGTGTGTCTGCTCTCATAGTTTACAAATCACACACAAAACTCTGTTCCTTTCCAAAGCGACCCTGTGTGTGTTGATGTCATTTTTACATTCACTGTGTTCCCCTGACACTTATTAAAGAAATGTGGTTAACTCAAAACTAAAGAAATACCATACATATTGCTGGTATTGTGTCAGCTTAAATGCAATTAGAGTGTTGTTAAAAATGTTCCCATAAAGCTCCAAAGAAGGTTAAGATCATAACCATGAAGTTATGAAGTGAAGAAGAGAAAGGGATCAAAAGACACAATTTGTGCGTTTGAAATATGTTCAACTTGATATTATTTTTCAGTTCTAAAAAATATAGTGTATTCACATCCCACATTCACAAATATATAGTATTATCACAGCAATTTGGAACTATTCAATTAACTTTGGCAGCAAAATGGCACTACTCATTTGCATTAGTTTAACAGGCCTTTCTATAAGTAAATGTTATTATTATTCTATGAGTGATTGACAGCCAAGTAATCTTCTCAGTTAGAGTTTAATTGCAGCCTTAATAAATATTTTTGCATGTCATTACTTTATTATTTACTATTTTGGTGACAGCACCATTATAGTTGCTGTTTGCCGATCTCAGACAAATCCCGAGTCTAGAAGACATTCCTATATACTTGTAGTGTAACTGGCTGCAGCCTTAGCAGGTTGGAGACACATATTAAATAAAAAGTCTAGTGTGGATGGTAGGAAATCTAATAATAATCTAATTAGATAACTCAACAGTCCTTCTTTGTAATTTTCTCAGAATTGACCAAGCTAAAAAATACTTGAGAATATATTCAAATAAAATTCTTAACAATATTAAATTAAATTATTAAATCAATATTAATATGCATCACAATCTATTTCTTAAATATATTGACACATTTTTTAAAATAATTTCACACAATGACACTCTCAAACCTCTGTCAGACAATATTGCAGCAATGGAGTGCAACCAAAATAGAACAACATGCTTTACTAGGAATAGAGTCACCTGTCTTACACAGTTGCGCTTCAACAGATTCTAACATTACCATACAACCAGTCCTGTGACAAGTCCTAATTTGGTTTCACAGTCATACTGTTCCTATTATTACATTAACCCGCAGGGCGAAGCGTCCTTATTTTTGAATTTGCCGGAAGACGTTCGCTCTGAAAGCATGCCTGATAATCTGCCATGTGCAACGCGGTGACATGCTACATTCAAGTGTGTCATAGTGTTGTGCCTCCTTACCTTTCCGCGCTGACGCTTTTCCTTGGAAGCATGCACGCGCACACACTGAAACACACAAGTTGGCAGATGGAGGTGGAAGGAAAGGTCATATCTCAGAGTGGAGTGGTCTGTGACTTCAAAAATAGACATCACAATTCACAGTAATGTGGGCAGGAAAGGTTTCTTGTGTGGTGAACACGAGGAGGTTACATAGAAGTTAGAGGATTGCATATTGGTTGGACTTTTGTTGAAAAATTTTAGCACAGACATACAGTCTCTCTCTAACACACATACACACTCACACTGTCTTTTGTTTGGTGCCGCTGCCAAGTGGAGTGTCGGTTTCAAAGTGGGAGTCTTTAAGTGGCGCCCAGTAAGCCTGGGATAGTGTTCATGTCATGGGCAGTTGGCTGGTGGTGTGTGTATGTGTATGTGAAGTGTGTTCCCTGTTTATTTGTGGGTGTTGGACATCTGTGGAGGCAGAGGGGTGTAACGGCCAACAATAGGCAGAACTGTTGGAGACACCGTGACAGACTGACCCTGGCACAAAATCTGTTACCACACTACACACTGCACTGAACGCGCACACGCACACACATACACACACACACACACACACATATATATATACACATCTGCAAGGTCTTACACATCTCACATTGTCTGACATACCAAGTTTTGCTTTTCCATGATTGTTACAATTTTTTTGACTACAGTATTATTCACTTGTCTACTTTGTTTTCTAAATGATGGAAAAAGCACCAATTTAGTAAAATAAAATCCATTGAATACATTTAAACTTGATCATTTGTATGCCATACACCATGCAATATGTTGTTTCACTGATAGTTTAATATTTGCCTAATGCCCATTTTGCCTTTTTATCAAGAGGTACCCACGTTATACAGCTCAACAGTGACTGCCCATTCTTATAAAAAGAGTTTTAAGCATGGAACGAAGCCAAACAACTACAAGATGAATCGTGAGCATAAAACATTTGATTCGGAACAAAAAAATCGTAATTAGCGCAAGGAAAAAAAGGTACTGTGTAAATAATTATTTTAAGAGTGAAGGAACTACTCATCCCATAACCATTGGGAATACCTTGCCAATGACTTCCAACCTAACGATAGTAGCGTGCTAGTAGTTTGTATTGTGTTAATAGTTTGTGTTGTGTGAGTACATAAATAGTGTCATGATTAGTAGCTAATGTTAGCTACTTAACTGGCCGGCAAAACTCACCACAAACCTGTGTGTTTTGTCTTTCATAATGGCCCTGTCAGAATCCACAAGCTGGCCCTCACAAACGCTGACTTGTAGTGATTCTGTAAAAAATAAACTGCATGTCAGAAAGGGAAATCATGGCTCACCGGTGTTCACCGGTAGCAGTAATTCACTTGCAAAACCTGTTTTAAGTTCTAAGTATTTTAATAAAGTTGTTTTTTTTTTAAACGTAAGTAGCCGTTCACGTTCAGAGGTGCTGTGGGTAGAGTAGTACTTCTCCATCAAACATGTTTTTCTTAAAATAAGGTTGGTATCATTCGGACATTCAGTTTCTCCTGGACCATATACCATCGTTTCATAATCTCATAGCTAGTGGTAAGTCTACCCTGGATGGTTACGGTATTATTTCTAATAATCAAAACCCTCGATTCAGACTATGAATGGGATTACAGAGCCTCACTGTTAGCTCTAAATGCTAACTTAGACAGTAGTTAGTTTATAAATTCATACCCTTCAGCAGTTTTGGTCAGTTGCCTTTGGGAGGCCAGACCAAAGGTGATGGCTATGCTCCTCATGAAAAAACACATTTGCACTGATAATGGAATTTTAAATGGCCTCCACCTTATTAACTTCTTGGTTTATTAAAAATCAGGCCTGTTTCGCCATCCACAAGGCAAAGCCGCCAGTCCGTGTCTCTGTTGCAGATTAATTACTTTTCTATGGAGCAGGGAAGAAGAAGGGATGGCGGAAAGAGGAAGAAAGTAAAAAGCCGTCTGCAGTCTAAAATGGCGAGATATATATTTTTCTCCTCTGACGTTAATACATCTTCAGTGTGGCTGGCAGGCTCTTATCTGCAGAGCGACTGAGTCACGTCAGGCCCTGGTGAATTTTGATGATGACTGCAGGTCACCCAGTGAGAATACACAATGAAGAAGGCTCTGGCTGACATTATACTCCAAGGCCCTGTCCTCTGTGACTTAAAGACTGAACTCTTTACCACTGTACACCCTGTGCCTTTCACCCCATGTTGGAAAGACTACATTATTTGAGAACATTGCATAGTTTATTTAATACATCTTTGTGGTTTTGCTGAAATTTAGGTGTGTTTTTTCTCCCAAAATGTGTTTTTAGGATGTAACAACTTGTAAGATGATTAAAAAGCTGATGCAGAAAGAATATGGCAAATTATTTTATATGAAACACTGATATTTCTGTAAGTAAAGGCAATAAAAAATGGCACGTTCAGCTAAACGGTACCATGGTGACTTAAGAGAAAAGGTAAAATGTGACTGAAATGCTGTGGTTTGGGTTTTCCTGGCTTCCTTAAATAGGTAGAAGGATTCAGAGCCATGCCTCCATTGAGCCTCAGTTGATTGGCATAACATTTGCTCAGCTTTGAACCAAAATGAGACTTTGATTACAAGAAGATCCTCAGTTACGCCTCGGCACAGGAACATCTTCTGATCTGAAAGGTATATTTATACAAAGAACGAGATGAACACTCCAACGTGTCACCCTACCGCTGACATTTCACAGGAAACCGAATGCAAGGTCACTAATGTTTTATTTTCACACTGAAAATTAAACAGGTCCTAGCATGAATAGATTATTACTTTATTCATATTTGTCCCAAAACACGTTTTATACCAGCATTAATATATCAGGCCCTCGGCTGCCTTCTCCTCCGCTCTTTAAAATTTTTTCCCCCTTCTCTTCTCTCTCTCTTTTTTTTTTGTTAGCAAGGCGAGAGTGCCGATGAATAATTGAACAGTCCTGTGGTCCAAATGTCACAGCAGGGGAAATTGTTTGCGCTGGCTGGTAATTAGAATTTCATTGTTTGTTATGTAGGTTTGAAATCCCTGTCATTCCACATTCCACCTTATCTTGGTGATGGCAGATATCTCTGGGCTTGTCTATCTGGGGAGACACTAAGGGAGAGATGGAGAGATGGCATAGAGCACAATACATTCGCTCATTCTGCATCATCTCCACTGCTGGTCCTCTGTATAGGCCTCGCACACACACACGCACACTGACTGAGACAAAGACATTCCTTAGCGAACTTGTCAGGCACTCAAATGCACACAGAACAATGGACTCGGTTCAACCGCTCATTTTCTCACATGTATACAAAATTGTATTAATGCAATGTGATGAGAGTGTAAAATGTTTTATTCCTTCAACCTATTAGCCTCTGGTTTAAATGACTCCTCTACATTGTATAACTTCATTCATATTTTGTTGCTTCAGTGCTGCCTGAGCTCAAGACAGAGGCTGACATTTTGTCATTGCTTTTAATGTGTTTGCGTGCGTTTTGAAAAGTTTGCACGTGTGCATGCCCACGTGATTGTGTGTGTATCAATGTGTGACTGTTGTGTGTACGTGTAAATGCTTGTGGCAGCTTCGTATTTGCATATGAGCTGTTTTAACACAGGCAGTGGGTGATGCAGTATGCTCTTCTCCGAGTGCTCTTACTCTTACACAGTATTTTAGGTTTGTTGCTCTTTTTCCCTCTCAGTCAGTTTTCTCTGTCAATTTAAATATGGCGCTACGACTGGGGATTGCTAGGATGTCATCTTACTCATACTACCTATCAGTTTGGTACTTTATAGTTATTTTTATCGGTTGTAGATTTTTTGGCACGAAACAGAAAGGAATTCTGTAAGTGCAGAATCAAAATTGCGTTATTATTCTCTATAATGAAAACATTTTCTCTTTTGCACCAGAGTTTATTAGCATTGTGAACACTGTATCTGCAGCTATAAATGTATTCTTGTATGAATGATGTTGTGATTACTGATGGTACATTCCCTTGTTAGAAATGAGTATTTATATTTATTTCTTTTAGTCTGATTGTAATATGTTTTATCGTCTGTTATAAAAGTGAAGTGTTTTACCACAACTGACTGAACTGACTGTTAACCTGTTACAGATTGAAATGAGCTTTTAGCTATACTTGGCACAATAATTGTGTTGTGCATTGTCCCTGTAAAATAAGTAATAACAAAAATAAATTAAATTAAAGGAGGGATGCACCAATCTAGTGCTCTGGAGAAGCATCATTGCCAATACTGACACTTACAAGGAGATCAGTTATCAGTTTTTTTGTCATTATAACAATCATAACAGAAGTTATCTCATTGCAATTTTCATATAGAGCAGGTCTCTGTAATATTTACAGAGATCCATAACAATAAGAGTAATAATAATAATAGTGGTAGCAGCGGGTGTCGAGCAGGAACATGGGGGCAGCAGCTGTATTTTACCGGGAGCCAGTGCAGAGAAGCAAGTGTGGGAGAAATATGTCTATATCCCTTGATATAGATATAGTGATTAATTTCATAAAAAATTATATAGAGCCCCTTTAAAAACAAAGTTTTAATACATAAATTTGGTAATTTTCTTGGCTAGAAAATGTGCTTATTCATTTTCTAATTTTACAGTTTTTAGTGCTAGCTCAAGCAAGTACTATGTTTTTCACTCATTCACTCCTTCTGTTTCTCTCATTTTCTACCTCTCTCTCACCTGTTTCCTCCTCTCCATCAACCTCAAGCTCTCAGCGTCTCTGCTCACACACTGTTTCCTTTGTTGTGACTCTTTCTTTTGAAATGCTGTTTTTTCATGCGTTTCAATTTTGTTGTTGTATGTGCTTACTGACAAAATAGGCACTGTGATGCCATTACCGTCCTCTTTTTGTGAAAGTAGGCATCAAATGGCAGTTTAAGGTTTCATAAAGAGAATAGTCTGTTTTTTTAACATGGGATATGCTTCTTTTTTTAACTGACAGTCTGCACAAAGGGAATTACCAGCACTCATGCAGATGCTCAAATAAAAAAATAAAAGAGCACAAATAAAACAAGCACAAGGAACTAGAAAAATATGTCTCTCTTAGTTACTAATCACAGTTATTTTCTAACCCTTTGCCCTCTGCCTGTCACATCTCTTTATCTCTCTTTCTGGCATTTTGTCTTTTTTCCCCCTCCATCTTTCACTCTCTCTGTATTTGTCCCTCTTGATCTCTCTAGCCCTCCATCTATCCCACCATCATTCCCTTTTGTTCTCTCTATCAGTGGGAGATGGAGTTAAGTGCAGCTGTAGGCCAAATAGCCCAGTGATTGGCTCTCACTTACTCCTGCCTCCCCAGTGCATTTGAAATCACTGATTGCAGACAAGCCAGTCTAAATCAAAGCCCAACTATAAAGGAAAGGCTTTCAAGGGAAAGAGCGTGTGGAGGATCTATGCGTATTTTGGCTGTGTGTGTCTACTAAGACCACTCTTATGTACCATATAGTTGCAGTTGTCAGAATCATTCTACATTTGATGTACCTCCACCTGCCTGAACAAACAACTTGTCAATCTAGTTCACATATTACAAGCTGGTTTGAAAACTTACTGAACGTTTGCCCTTGCAGCCCTTTTTAGACTTAGCTGACCCTTGCCATCTGTCCTGCCTTCCAGATGCCCTGAACACGAGGAACCGTCAGGTGATCTGCACCACCCTGAAAGTTCTGCAGCATCTGGTGATGTCTGGGGACATGGTGGGAGAGGCTCTGGTGCCCTACTATAGACAGATCCTCCCTATTCTCAACATCTTCAAGAACATGAACAGTGAGTTCCAGCCATGCAAATGTGACGAGTGTTAATTCATGGACAGATGGTGTGTTAGCATGATGTGTCTCTGAACTTTCGTCCCTTTGTGCTATAAATCATTTTTTGTGCAAGTAATGCTACTACGTCAGTGAATTGTTATTACTGAATGTTTACGAGCCTGTGAAAGACACTAATAGGTATTCATGTGTAATGCGTAGCCTGTGTTAAGGCTGGGGTTAGGTTTATCCAGGTGATTTCACAGACCTGCTCTGTTCTGTGAAATGCTATGCAGATGCTATGTGTCGCTTTTTGTTTGGCTGTGAGTCTTGTGACTTCCAGGCAGAAAGCATCCTGTTTTCTACCTGTTATTTTCTCTGTGGATTCAATGTATGCGCCTGTCCCTGAATCCTTTTACCTTTCCCTCGCTCCGCTTAAACATCCACTTGACAGAGAAGCTCCATTTTGTCTTTTCTGCTGTCAGTCAGGCTGCATTGTGCGGTGCTGTTCAAGTGACTTTGTCCTTCCTGTCTCCGAAAGCCTCCACCTGGGTGACACCAGGACCTGGGGAGATTGGCATCAGATAGGCAGGGCTCTTTGTGTGGCAGCGTCAAAGCACTTAGCATGGTGTGACATAATGTGGACCCATTGAAGGCTTAGAGGCACAGCCAATCCCGAACACCACTCGCCACACAGTCAGTAGGATGTGGAGAGTGACAATGTGAATCAATCATTTAAACACAGGCTTTAACAGGAGAAAACACAAGGCTTTAGTCTCTTAATCAATATCCAATTTGAATCTCTTGTCTCTTTAATTCGCTTACATTATCTGTTACTATTTACTAAGGTCTAAAAAAAGGAAGGAGAAAGCCGAAGGAGATAGCGTGGAAAGACAAAGGATGGAAAAGAAAAGCCTGCCTTATTAGCACATGGCCATATGCAAATCTCCTCTGTAAATTAGCTGTCAAATCAATCCCCTAAACCGTGTTGAAGCGTGAGTTTCTCCGCCACGGCGCAGGCTCAGCAGTTGGCCGGTGAACCCCACCAGGAATAGTTTTATCTCTGCCTGGTAGTTACTGTGCTGGCCTGTCTGCTTGTCTGTCCGCCTCTGGCGGGCATCGATTAAACCTGAGCCAGCCTCTCACCTGGCAGAGGTCCCTGTTATTGACCTCTCCTGGAGAGACCAGACTGGGCCAGAGAGGGGTCCGTAGAACTGCCAAAGCATAGGACCCAATCTGCTAAACAAGGACAGCGCTTCCTGTCAGCTCTTTATAGGCATCCAAAGAGTTTCTCTCTTTTTAAAGTTTGTTTAGAATTGAGGCTAAAGATAAGCCATCAATGTGTGTCCTGCACCACCCACTCCCTGCTAACACAGAAAGATATGACTTCAAATACAGAGAATGGATGCTTTTCTTTTGGGGACCAGACACTGTGTGAACCAGAACTCTGTGTTCTTTCTCTCTAATATGCAAATATTTGAAGGTTGTTGTTTTCTCACATTCTTTCTTTCTCTCTGTGTGTCATTGTCTCTGTCTGTCCTTTGTTTTATGTGGCTCGTTTAAATCGATATCAAAGTATTTCACTGAAGTCCATCTATTATCTAATATCGCTTATATACACCTCTAGCTCCATCCCACGCTCAGTCGGCTGTCTCAATGAGAGCCAGCGTGCTGCCTCTAGCAGACAGGCACGATCATTGTGTTTAATACACCAGAAGACACAGAGGACTGTCTAGTAGTGTGTGGTAACATCTCCTTTTGGCTCTCCCACACTGTAACTCGCAGAGCTTGCATGGCATCCCTTTTATCTCCTGAGCCACAACCAGGCCACTGTCCAGTGTGTGTGTGTGTGTGTGTGTGTGTGTATGTCTACATGTGTGTACATCTGTCATGAATAGATCTGTTGTGTCCCATATGCAGCTGTTGACTTCAGCGTGGATGAAGGCCCCAGCTTTCTGTCTCCGTCTCTCTGTCTGTTTAGTGTTGTGTAGGTCTGCCAGCCTCAGGCACATAATGCTCTGCTAGACATCTACTGCATATACGCACAGACACACACATATTGTATATAATCGCTCGCTGTCCCAGTTGAGGCTACACAACCTGACTCTGTCCCTGTCTACCCAGTTGTTGGGGCTGTGAATCAATAGGCTGACAGCCACTGCTCTAGCATTAGGGCTACACTGAGATATCACCAGCATCTCATCATGGGACAGATCCCCTAGGCTGTGTTCACACACTCCCACCGTGTCGCTCCCACTCTGAGACAGGGTTGTGACCTGTTAAATTGGTCCATATACAGGCCTTATCCAAGCCATTTTTCCAGGGTCAGAGCTGGAACTTTACATCTCCAAAATGGACCCTCGGGTCTCCTTTCACTCAGACAGAGCACCGGACCTCTGACCAGGACAGCACAATCATGACCCACATTCTCAGCCTCCCTGGGAACCAGGCCTGTAAAGAAGGAACGGCTCCATTGTTCAATGAGAAAAAAATATGCCTGTTTAACTCCAGGCAGCCGGCTGCCATTCTTACCACTTGCACAGTAATGCGTCATTTTGAAGTTCACAATAATAAGCAATCACACAGTATCACCGTCCTTGATGTACCCCTTTGTCTCCTGAATCAGCTTCCTCAGCTTTTGTTTGCTTTGTGCCTTTTGCATATCAGCTGTGTGTGCGTGTGTGTGTGTGTGTGTGTGTGCATGAATGTTTATGTGTGTGTGAGAGACAATGTTGAGGGTAGTGTAGGAATTCCTCCAATGCGATTTGCACGGCTCTCTTGTTTGCTTGCTGTGATGAATCTTATCCCTAATGAAATGCAACAACGTTCCTTATGAAGGAGAGATGCGCTCCCTCATCCAGCAAATTCCTCTTCTGAGCTCGAAGGAAGGAAACTCATCTACTGTACGTCATCTGAGGAAGAGAGAAAGAGAGTTTGTGGGGTTTTGTAAGGCAGCAGAGTAAACTGCACAGAGTCAATAATCTGGGGTCTTGGTCAGGTAGGATCTGGAAGACTCGAATTTGTGCACCCCAAGTCTGGAATATAGTTTACTCTAGAGCCCGAAAGATGCTGAATATTTGAAAATTGGTATCAGTTTGTGAGAATAATTAAAATCAGATTGACACCCTATCAGTCCAATATTCTTTTTCTTTCACCTGCATATATCTTAAGCTAAGATTTCGTTATAAAGATATGTCCGATTAAAGACATTTTACATTTGAACTTTATTATCAAAGATTACAGTAATACATGTACATGTTGAATCAGATACTCAAAAATCAAAAAGCATAAAACAAAAGTATATTAAGCTTGAATTGGGGATAATATTAAATGCCGCAAATTAAACATTTATCGCTGCTGTTTGCTACTCTGCAATTTCTGTTTTAACCTGATTTTGGGCAATAATTTTAGCCTTTCTCTGTAAGTTGCACATTTCGATCAAGATGTGGTAACATTTTTACCCGACTGGTAAACACTGTTCATTGATAAATGAATTGATCCAAGACATTTTTCATTGAGCCTTTCTATTTCATAGACTACACAAGTAAAACATAAATGGCATATGGCAAATGGGATCTTTTTAATGTCATCTTTAGCCTCTACATTGCTGTACATGAATGTAGTTGACTGGAGGGCTCTTCTGGTATTTTTTTGAGCCTGCAGTATAGCATTGTTGTTGTTGTCCTGATGATTTTCTCCGCTTATCTGTACGGTGTAGGTCCTTAAACTCCTATTCATCACTGACAAACACACTCACTCTCTCTCACACACTCACACACACACACACACACACACACACACACACACATATATCGCTCACACACACTGCGGTGATCTGGTTAATTTGGCCTCCTTTATCTTCCTGCTAGGAATGTGGCCAGCTATGATAAGGTCACACGCACGCACGCCCGCACACACACTCACGCATACACACACATGCACACACACACTCTCTCACACACACACACACACACACACACACAGAGGTTGGGATAGTGGCTCTGTGTCTTCTGTGCCTGGTGCTAGTGGTGAGGTTTTTGTGTTGGCGACAGATGCAGTGCTGTGGCAGGCCACTTTGTCTTCCCCCCACAGGCCTGCTTTATGTGTGTGAATCACATGACACACACATACAGGCACTCACAGCTCAGGTTGGACGTCTTTATGAATGCGGCGGATCAGTTACAGCCCACATTGGACCGTTGGAATGGAAATAAATAGCAAGAGCTGGCTGACCTCATACACCCACTCCAACTCCCGCCTCCTGACAGCAGGACGGGGACAGTCAGGAACATGGAGGCAGGGACACGCTATCAGCTGTGGATGGAGATCCTGTACAGGGTAACTGTCACACATGAAATGGACATCATGAAAACACACACAGGCAAATCAAATCCAAAGCATTTTTTCCAACTCATTTTATTCTGACAGAAGGCCAAGCGTATGTCAGTGTACTGAGCCACCTGTGCTCTTGTCCACAATACAACGTAATGCTCCCGGTTACTGCCAGAACACTGCACTGTTGCGTATATGATGTGAAGTTAATTCCTGGGGATTCCCATTCACAAACATTTGCTTTATTTAATGACCTTTTCCGGCTGCCTTTGTGAAACATTAATTCACTGCCATGCTTTCACTGTTTACATAGCGACACAACTGAGGAGACCATGGCCACGCACACACATGCACACACACACACACACACATACACACACTTGCAAACACACACATAAACCTGTGGCCCCCATGTAATCCATCATCCTCCAAAGACACACAGAGCTCCTTGTCCCCGTAGACAACAGAACACACCTCGTCCTCAGCCCCGTCTCCTCTTCCGTAGACCCCTCTCCAACAGGTGATGTGGATCTATCAAGCAATCACAGCCTGCCAAGACCCCTCTGCCATTAAAATACAGAAAAATTGAGAGAAACAGAGAGAGAAAAGAGAGCGATGGAAGGAAAGATAGCATGAGTGAGCGAGAGATAAAATCCAGGTAATACTGAAAGCATTTCCTTTATAGTTGGG